CAACATGGTATATGACTATTTATTTCTTTAATTTTGAGAGATTCAACCAATTTTTATAATTTATACTATTTTTTTGGGAAAAAATCCCTAACTGTTGGATATCTCCAACGTTGGCATGTAAAGAAAATCATTGAAAACATAATTACCCCCCAAAAAAATGGCTTTTCGGAAAAGCTAAGCGGTACATCAAGAATATTGGCATGTACCTAATTTTGGGTTAAAAATGTTGGACTTGGAGTGTTTGTTTTACGTTTTTAAATTATTGATAACAAATATGATCAATTTGTCGTCCTTCGTCAATGAGTTGGCTTTATTATTCTGATTCGTCCTTTCGTTGTACGTATGACGTACCTTTTGCATTATCATATTTGTTTTTGAAAAAAACGTTTTGCATTATCATATTAAACCTAGAAAACCAGATGTCTTCCATTTTTGTTTTGTTTTTTAATCATATTTTCGTTCTAAAGTCAAAATATGAATCACATCATCAAGATATCAAAATGTAGAGGTTTAAACTTCTAATTAAACTAATCCGTTGACAAAACTAATTAATCTTTTTTATAAATAAATATATGTACGATACGATTGATATAGAGATTAGTTTGATTTTTATTTGAGATTTTTTTATCGGTTATAAATATATGTATAGTTGGTTCTGAAATTTCTTATATGTAAGTATCTAAAATATTAGTTTTTAGTGGGACAGTGTTATATTTTTGTTATTTCATTTGTATCATAACACAGTTTAGATTTATAGTAAAAAAAATGTATATATGGTAAAATAAATCGAGACAAAAACATAACTACGTTCACATATTTTATGTGTAACTATACTCCTTACGTAATTGTGTATTTTAATATTTTAGTAAAGTTTCGAACAATATTTCTTTTTCTTGTTTGGACAACAATTTACATTAAAACCTGTATATAAATTATTATTGTTGGGATTTTGAAAAATGAGTTAACTAGCTGAATATACACACGTTAGTAGCAAATTAGACATATATAGAAAAATAACATCGAATTGGTAAAGTATACAAACAAGACTAACACAAAAACGCTTCTAACCCTCATTGTTTCTTAGCCTTACAACCTACATCAATAATCGATACATACAATACAATTTATATGTAATATAGCTAATTCTTTTTTTTCTTCTTTTCTCTTTCATTTGAACCAATGGAGATAGCATAAACAAAATAAATCAGATTGATTTAGCGAATGAAAAACTCTGATAAGCTCGTTTGCCACCTCCTCCTCCATCGCGTCTTCGTCTACAAAAGCTGCATCTTCCTCCACCGAAACGGCGTCTTCCTCCGTCAAAGATGTGTCATCTTCCTCCATAAATACGTCTTTGTGTTTCTCTACTTCCACCATCCTTCTTAACAACAATGGCAAATTCTGCCAATTTTCCGGTGAATACGTATCATTTTGAAGATTTGGTTTCATCGCAAACTCGTTTTGCTTTGACTCAGTGAGTTGACTCATTAAGAATAGGCTTAGTCAGTGAATTCATTAGTCGCTACCTATGTTTTATATGTTTGAATTTAGAATTGGTCTTATAGTGCTATCATAAAAATGGCGGATAACAATTTAGTTGGCGGTAACATGTATGTTTAGATGTTTAATGATCGTATATGTTCAATTTATATATTACTTTGTAAAAAGAGATTTATTCTTAATTAATTCTTAGACCGCTAACATATATAATAGCGGATAACAACTTACTTAATGGTAATATGTATCCTTAAATGTTTAATGACTGAACACATTATGCATTACTTAGCAAAAATGTTATTTTGTTATCCATGAATTAGTCTAATTGATGACAATAAAATTACTTTTCATAACCTATCAATGATATAAGTTCATAAATATTACTATTTCGAATTTAGCACTAGTCTTCTAAATCCAATATTAGACCGTTAACATATAAAAATACGGGTAACATATTATTTATCAGTAACATGTATTGTTAGACCGTCAACATATAAAATTTTCGGTAACAAATTATTTATTTGTAACATGTATTCTTAGACGTTTAATGATTCAACACATTGAATATAATAAATTAGTTCTTTGATTACATCACGTAAGAGAAAATATGGGTCGTGGAGTTCACAGTGCTTAGCTTTATCAGCGAAATTCATGTTGTTTGACGGTGGGTCATCATTTTCTCTGATCAAAATCACTAGAGAATTGTAGTATGGTTATCTTTGTATTTCGAATGAGTCTTCTAAACTCAATGTTAGATGGTTAACATATATAATAGAGACTAACATTTTAGTTACTGGTAATAGGTATTGTTATCTATACTATATTTTAACACATTCAACATTCAACATTCTGCAAACCTCAATGTTAAACATCTAACAAGTCTTATAGCCGATAACAAATTACTTAACTTGTTATCGTTAACATCTTACAAGTCTAATAGCCGATAACAAATTACTTAACTTCTGAATCGACTCAAACCAACTCACAGAGTTAACTCAGTGAGTTGACTCAACTATGTCAACTCATAGCAACTCGCCGGAATTACAAAAACGGTTCGTAGATACACAATTTTCTCTTCTTCCAAAGCATTGAGAATAACGCGAATCCTGTCAGATGGGTGATATGTTGTTACCTGAATTTCCATAGGCTCATGTCCAACAGCAAACATTCGGTTTGGGAGAGTCGGCAACTCCACTGACCGAATCTGCGAAAACATGAAACCGGAAAAATTTAGGTTTGTAAAATACCCTAACTGGGAAAAATAAAATACGGCGACTTACCTCTTTCGCTTTGGTAGCTTGATCCATCGGCGAAATTATTGGATGCTTCGAATTCCTCTGCAGATTTTTTAAGTTCTACCCAGAAAACTCTCTTCTTCTCTCTCTCTTCAAATCTAAATAACAAAGGTTTTGGTTATATTTGTTTTTATTCATAATATTAATTATTATCATTAATATATGTATCGGTCCTATGTATATGTTAGCTTGATACTAGAAGATTTGTTCTCTGACACAAACATAATGACACATATAATACTACATACTCTACATCTTATAGGGGTAAAGTGGGAATACCAAAAACCGAATAGCTGAGCTAACAGTGTTTGTATACAAAACCAATTAGCTTATAATTCTTGTATATGAGATGCAAATTCTCTTGAAAAAGAA